TAAAATAACATGTTAAAACCTACCCGTGAATTTAGTTTCTGACAATACTAAATTAGGAATAATGCTTTTTTTATTACAGGTATTGACAGTGTGAGTTGAAGTTCCTTGCTATACAAATCTCAGATCTAAACATGACTTCAGCTTTGAGGTATTCCTTCTGCTTTTAGAGAATGAATTTTGCAGAATCAGGTCACTCCCCATTCAGACACTCTTGCTTCTGCTATGTCCAAGAGGCCCCCACTGACCAATGATTTTATATTCTCCCCTCTCTGCCCAAGAGTTGAATGAGGGGCAGGAATCTCTGGGTGCTCACACAGGGTAAACAGACATAAATACAATGACCATGTGTCACAGTGCACTGTCCCTCTTTCCTTGTTGCTCTGTTTTTCTGTTCTCTGTCCCTGTTTCAAGTGTGATTCCAGCTAAGCACCCCACACGTCTGATGTGTCACCTCATTTGGTGTGGTAATTGATGAGCGTTTAGGCAAAAAGTGTATCACTCAATCTGTGAATACTGTTGTCACTTGAAAGACAGGATGACTTGGAAATGGAAAAAAACCCAAAAGAGAACAAAAAACCCGAAGCCTTTATTTAAAATCAGTTGACATAAAATCTCTGTCGTACTCCTACATTTGTGACCATGGCTTGCATCAGCAAATTACCTTAAAATTATGTTAAAAACATAACATTCTGTTTGACAAACCTGGCCTAACTTAAATAAAAGCATGTGTTATTTACTATGAAAAAAAATTAAATTGGATGAATCGTACAAATTGTTTTGACCCAGTCAGATTCAAAGTGCAGGCAATATTACAGTTTCAGTCACCTATCTCTGTGTGGTTCATTATTTCTCTACCAGTGTTGTGATCTCTTTGCCTGTTAATTTTGCAGAAGGACTGCCATTACAGTACCTTTTGCACTCCTGCATTTCATTGCAAAGGCTAGTGACGCACTATGTACAATCAAAGATGTATTCAAACCACATAAAATGAGAACCATCTGATTTGATGGAAAAACACAGGGAGACAAACAGCACAATGCAGGCAAATACCCACCTTTTACTCCCTCTTAACACTTAGCCACCTAATGTGAGAAATATTCGTTAAACGTTTTGCTTGAAAAAGCATTATGTGGGTGGGTGTTATACGAGGAATACGTGTACTATGTCTGCCAGCCTGCTCGGAGTGTCCTTGGCCCAGGCTACTGTACCTAGCCACTTCAAGACAACCAACGTCATGCCAGTAACAAAAAAAAATCCTGGCAACCCACATGCCTGAACGACTATCGCCCTATTGCTCTCACCGCCATCATAATGAAGTGCTTTGAAAACCTACTTATTCCACACATTAAAGCCAGCATTCCAAAAACACTTGATCCTTTCCAGTTTGCCTATCGCACAAACCGCTACACGGAGGATGCAATCTCTATAGCTTTACACACCACACTAACCCACCTGGATAAAAGGAACACCTATAAAAGAATGCTGTTCATTGACTTTAGCTCAGCATTTAACACCATCATACCCATTAAACTTGCTACCAAACTTAGGGCTCTAGGTCTAGAAACCACCCTCTGTAGCTGGATCCTAGACTTCCTTATCAGCAGATCCCAGACTGTTAGGATTAGCAACCTCACCTCCATCACACTCACCCTTAACACCGGTGCCCCTCAAGGCTGTGTGCTCAGCCCACTGCTTAACTCCCTGTTCACCCACAACTGTACTGCTAAGTTCAGCACAAACACCATCATCAAATATGCTGACGATACCACAGTTGTGGGTCTGATCACTGACAATGATAAGACTGCCTACAGGGAGGAGATAAAACAACTTGCAGACTGGTGCCGAACCAACAACCTATGTCTCAATGTCAGCAAAACCAAAGAGCTGATCGTTGACTTCAGGAGACAAGGAAAAGTCCACTCCCCCGTCTACATCGAAGGGTCAGCGGTGGAGATGGTGAATAACTTCAAATTCCTAGGTGTTCACATCTCTAAGGACCTCACATGGGCTCTCAACACCTCCAGTCTCATTAAGAAGGCACAACAGTGGCTGTTCTTCCTGAGAATGCTGAAGAAAATATGCCTGCATCCACGGATCCTCACCAATTTCTACAGATATAGGAGGAGAGCATACTGACCAGCTGCATCACAGTCTGGTTCAGCAACTGCACCACATCCAACCGTAAGGCACTGCAGCAGGTGGTCAAAATTATCCAACACATCATCGGCAGTGCCTTACCATCCATCCAGGAAATCTACAACACCAGGAGTTTGAAAAAAGCCACCAAAATTATGTCTGACCCACTCACCCCAGTCATAACTTGTTTGTCCCCCTACCATCTGGTAGAAGGTTCCAGACGCTCCAGTCGCACACAACTAGACTCCAAAATACCTTTTTCCCAGAGCCATCAAGCTGGTGATGCCCCCACACCCTCCCATCATACTATGATCTCTCCTAACTTCTTCTTGTACCCACAATGACTGTACTCCAACACCACTACATACACGACAACTGAATGTAAGCTGAAATTGTACTTAAAACTGTACTGGTTGTACTATTTATCAATCACCGGATTATTTTTGCACTGTTTTTGTCCTGTTTGTATAGTTTTCTCTGTTTGCATATTTGCACAGCTTTTGATGATTTTGCACTGGCACCACACTGTTGTTTACACTGTTATTGTTATTGTATTACTGTCTATTGTCTTGTCTTCTGTTCTATTTATATACTGCACCTGAGAGACTAATGAGAAACACTTTTCACTATACTATGCACCCGTGTAAGTATAATGACAAATAAAGTTGAATTAAATTGAATAATAGGATCTTTAAAAAAGATTGGTCCAGGACAGACATACCACACCAGAGGCATAGCCAGGAATTGATTTTTGGGTGGGCCTGTGCAAAAGTGGGTGGCCTGGGCTCTAACTGACCATCCTGCCAGCATAGGGGCACCCCTCCAATTTACAATCCAATCCTCAATCAAACAGTAAAATTAGTGGAATCTTATATACTGTATATACACACTGTACTGCCTCTCTCACACACACAGGTTAAGCAGCAATTACCTACAGTAGGCTGCCGAACGTTACTGTGCCACGTCGGACACACACACAAAAATAATCAGTGCCTACCTCTGTTGTGAGGTTTTGGCCTTCTAGTCGGGGCTTGGAATTGAATATGGCTATAATCTCGTCACTGTCTAGAAATCTGGCAAATTTCCATTCAAATGACAACTAATTTGTAAAGGTGTCTCATATGAGGACTTTGTCTTTAGCTAAAGAAAAGCTGCAAGAGCTCATTTTCACTTGTTGCTAGTAACAGTTCTAAGTATTTCGTATGCCTGCTTTTAGATTGTTCAATAGTTTTACAAGTTACTCTGAAGTTAATATTTTATTGCAAAACACAATGAACACAACACAAAACGTAAGAATCGAAATCCGTCCGAAATATTGTATTTAAAATACCACGCAGGGTTTACCTTGCCTTTAAATATTCAGTGGACTTTAGCATAACATACCAGAAGAACGTGCACACACATATGGAATTCAAAAGTTGGAGTAAATGCATCACCCCAAGGGTAATATCGAGTGAGGCTCAATGAGAATAAAAACTGCAAAGGTATTAAAATATTAAGTTCTGAAGATCTTGTTTGATCCTTCATGATGCTTTTAAACTTGTATGAAAGACACGAAATTAGTATTCTATGTTCGATGCCAAAAGACACCTAATTTGGAAATTTGTGACTTACTCCCCGCAAGACTTAACACTGAATTGGTATAGTCACATTACAGTGCTAAGCAACTCATCGTACCCTTAATTGCAAGAATGGTCTGCTAATAAAAGCGTCAAATACATACTTTGGATGTATTTTAGCTCCATAAACATCGTTCACTTAAAAATACTGCAGGGCGTTTAGAGGTGATATGGATAGTTATCTGTAAAACGCACACTCCCATCTATCTATCAATATAATCTTAATGTTATTCATGCATACCAAAACTTGTCATTTGTTTACAGGAGAGATTTTAAAACCTCTTCGTGCTTAACTCCTGCAGGTCAAGCATGTATTGAGCTGCTACAAGCAAATGAGTGCACAGCCACTTGCATTCCCAAAACACTTGTATTTGGGAAGCCAGGCTGTACTCCTTAAAACCCAAGATGCCTGTAGCATCTCATGTGTCTTATTTGTTTCGGGACTGGTCTGGTCATCTACACGCGGCTTTTTGAAAAATGTAGATATATGCATTTGTTTCGCCATGTTGGCTAATAAACCAAAAA